CGATGGCCGGGTCAAAATGGACCCGCCATCGACTTTCCGAAAGTGAATCTTTATCTAATTAAATCACAATTGAAAAATTGAAGTGTACATGCAAAAACTGAACTTTAAAAGTTACAAATGATAATATTTATCAGTGTCGAATATCCACTTCTTTCGGAAAATTACTTATGGGTCCATTTTGACCCAGCCGCAGGTTCTACTGCAGTATCGAGAAAATGACGGAGGAACTAAGAATAATACTCGATCGTAAAAATAACTTGGAATTTTTACACCGTTAAATAAGACTCACATGATCCGATTGATTCAGCCTGTTACCCAAGACAGTGAAAAACCAGATTGGAAAAATCGCAGTCTCGTAAACAGGCTCCTAAGTCGATGATGAAATACGATACGGACAAGCCTAACCCAGATAACTATGATAAATTACCACACACAAATTTCCAAAGCTAACTCTACCAGACAACCATCGAGAGAGAGGGAAGAAAATATAAGTATTCCTCCTTAGATTCTCTAATCGACAAAAATGATCCAAGTTTCGACGAACTGGAGAGCCATAGAGATCGCTGGAACGACGTTGGACAGAGGTTGAACGAGCCGAAGAGAAGTTTCGGAATGGGACCATTAACGTAACACCGGTTAGGGCAACATTCGAAGATAGGGGCAATTAAAGGGGGATTACTGATAAATCAGCGTAAGAACGCGAGAACGGTGAATCAGACGCGTTGACGATCGCCTCTATCGCGATGTACACGCGTTTGTTAGTGCACTCTCGGTTCGAAACATAGTCGACTGGTTCGTGTTATATAAAAGCAATCGTGGATCGACGGCCTGGAGAATGAAATACAAGTCGGCTTCGCGGGTTTTTATTCTGCGGTGCCTATAGAACGAGACGCTGAGAAGGTTCGTGCGTAGATCATCGACACTTTGAACGGTGTGTTGAAGAATCGCGCGCGAAAATTAGTTAGAGGAGACTTTGGTACTCACTGTGCCACGGTTGTTCGTATGTTTCCAGATAAGTTCGAGACGATCGCTGAATGAGGCACTTAGAAGCCAAAGTGATCGAGTCTGTTGAATAAAATTGATTAAGTTTGTTTCATTTATGTTGAGTTAAGCATCAAGTACATGCTTTGATAGCATAATTGGAAGAATTTGAGAAAGGGGAGTTAATCATTTTGGCTTCTGAGTGGTCTAATGTGTGGAAAGGACTTTTGGTGTTTTATGGATGAAGTAGTGTTAATGGTGCAGATCACGTGTCGAAGGAATGCAACGATCGTTAGACGATCGAGATAAGTAGATGGTAATTAACACATCGAGCGAGGGCTTTGCTTAACCACCGGTTAAAATCGTTGTATTTCACTTTAAAATTATACTTGAGAGAAATTTCTGCAATTGAGAAAGTACTCGGTATTTTCAAAAGGAGTGATTTTTACTAGTTGCGGTTTTTGCAAGTTAGATATTATGTGAAGTATTTGAAGTGATTGTAACAGACACATTTTGCAACGTCAATTAAATCTTAAAGATAACTTATTGATGTTGAGTCGTTAAACTTAACTTCTGAAAATTGAGTCATTGACTCAACTGTGAAAGTTGAGTCATTAAACTCAATTTCTAAAAGTTGAGTCACTAACTCAATTTCTGAAAGTTGAGTCACTAACTCAACTTCTGAAAGTTGAGTCACTAACTCAACTTCTGAAAGTTGAGTCACTAACTCAACTTATGAAAGTTGAGTCACTAAACTCAACTTATGAAAGTTGAGTCATTAAACTCAATTTCTGAAAGTTGAGTCATTAAACTCAATTTCTGAAAGTTGAGTCACTAACTCAATTTCTGAAAGTTGAGTCACTAACTCAATTTCTGAAAGTTGAGTCACTAACTCAACTTATGAAAGTTGAGTCACTAACTCAACTTATGAAAGTTGAGTCGTTAAACTCAACTATGAAACTTAAGTCACTAAACTCAACTTATGAAAGTTGAGTCATTAAACTCAACTATGAAACTTAAGTCACTAAACTCAACTTATGAAAGTTGTCATCAAACTCAACTTTTGAAAATTAAGTCATCGAGGGTGTACAATTATCTTACAAAAACTGGAGATAAGTAGTACTTCGTAACATGCATTAGATGCGCGACTCAACGACTCATCTTTCAACAATTCAGTTCACTGATTCGACATTAAAAAATTGTCTGTAAAATTTAATTGACATTGCAAAATTTGTCTATTACAACCACCTCAAACACTTCACTATACAAACAAAACACACTTGCAAATCAGTTACATCAACATTTTCCTCCAAAAACCGAAGACTGTAAATTCTACAAAAAATCCGACCAAAAATTCTACAAAAAGGCGGACGAAAATTAAACGACAACACGAAAGAAATACCGTACGTTTACGCGAAACGTGTTAACAAGATCTCGAACGCTTGGTAGATTCGTAACACTTTGTACGCAGACAAGCGCGAAAATGAATTCACAACCGATTATCCGCGTTTGATCGACGGGAAGAACTGTGGTTTCCGACGCGAGTTCTACCCGCTACTAACTGGCGACAGTGTCTCACGGGGTCGACGGTCAGTAAAAAAGGGATGGCTTATACGACGTATTGTCCGTTTTTATCTCGTAACCTATGCAAATGTGTAACGTAATACGCGACACGAGCCCGCGAAGAGGTTTCCTCCCCTTGGCGGGCTTCTGCCGGCGCATAAATCACGGGAATCGCGCCAGGGGTATCCTCCTCAGCTTTGTTGCAACAAGACGCGCGAAGAATTGGCCTATATGCGTTGCGTAATTCGTCCAGTACGAGATATTCATATCAATGTGGAGAAAGGTACTTAACAATGCAATAGGACTAATCGTCGAACAACTAAGCTGGGTCGTCTGTGACCCGTGATACTCGCGTGCGCAGAAGTTTCGTGGAATATACCAGGTGGTGCAAAAATAACGTCCACCTGGAATGTTTCTGTTATTTGGAATAACATGGAAAAATGTTGTATACGAAAGTTGCACGATATGGAGAGGAGAATAATGTGGTGTAAATATTTTTTACATGGATAGAGGTGTAGATCGTTTTAATCAAGATCATCTCTATTTTTTTAAATGGAATGCTATATTTTTTTATACAACAGCTACTCAACCATTAATTAATAACAGGATTTTTTAAAGTTGAAAATGCACTTAGACAAAAATTTGACAAAAAAATTGATTCTCTGTACGATCAACGTGACAGAATGAACGTGATTATTCGCTATTTTTACAATTGTCTATGTATGAATGGAGTGACCACGTAAAAAGTTTAAAAAACGTTGAAAATAATTTTTTCTCTAGGATTAAATTAACATCGTCGAGAAAATCAACCTCTGTCTGTGGTAATAATTTATTATCGATTACTGGTTAATCCGTGCAGCAAAAATTGTATCTCTTCGAGGCGCGGAGTTCCAACCATTGTTCCTGATTAGGAACGTACATTTCCGCTGGCATACGTTCCAGTCCAGGTGATTCTGGCGATCCACGCTCGTTCGTTCTTTTAGCTGAAACATTGGATACAGAAGAAATCGCGTAAGTGATAACTAAACAGCATCTTGTTCAGGTTAACCCCTTAACCTATGATTTCCTTTCTGACTACGCATCTAAGCGTCAGCCATTTAATGTTTCAGTACTGTATCAGGTAACGAAAGCTAATCTGTTACAGATTAATCACATTTAGGAATCATTGATCTTATAAATTCGAACGAAAGTTAGGATTGCAATGAATTTTTCTTAGTAATATAACTATTTTTGTTACATCTTGACCAGAGTCTCTGCTACGAGTCTGACACGTTGTTGTAGGTTAGGTTAGGTTAAATTAAACTATTTTTCCCCACGTACTCAATCGTTTACGCATGGAAATCGCCTCGCCAGGGTGTCGCAGGAGCAATCTTCCTACTCCCTCGCATCGTCGGAGAACCTCGTTCTTCAACAGATGATCCCGTACGTTCTGAGAGATGATCGAACAACTCGTCACCCATTTCGAGACGTACGCGAAGTCCGTGAGCAACTGCAACGCCCCGTGTTCGCTGGAAAACATTTTTAAAAGAAAAATACAAACTTCTGTTAACTTAAAAAACCAACCTTAACTTAAAAAAATTATTAAAAACAGTTATATTAAAATTTCGATAGTGTTCAAGTCTTGTTACCTTAATCATACTTCTCAGCGTATTTTACTTAGGCTTGTACCTTTTTCTTCTTTTTTTAAATGGAAATGTGAAAGTATAGCTGACGAATTGAGTTCTTTGGATCTGACGAATATCCCAGAAAAGAAAGATATCAACGAATTTGAAAAAAAAAATTAACCCTTTGCGGTCCGAATGGCCCAATTATTTGGCCACTGACAAGAAATACCGTGTAGTTTGCCTTCATTTCAATATTTCAGTGTAATATTAATAAAATATCAAGTTTCACTATAATACGAATGCATAAAAAGTGATTTATTGCGCAATATCTGAAGGTAGAAATTCCTACGTCGAGTCAGACTCGACATAGAAACCCAAAGGGTAAAAGTTTTAGAAAAGAAATCTGCAATTTTGAAGCACCCTGTACACCCATTTCTCCGCTCATTTCGATCGTTTCACACTGCTTCACATGGAATACACGAAGAACACATTCATACCTTCCGTTCGCCGCGTGTATGGGTTCGTCATAGCGAACGGGATTAAAGGATCGAAGGAGAGGATCAAGCGGGGCGATTTACCTGAATTTAATTCGATGCAGGTAGATGTAATCCAGCCACGCCTCGCACATAATTCTCAGGATCATGTTAGACGTCTCGTGGTCCTCGATCACTTCCAGAACCGGAAGCAACACCTTCTCTGTCGAGGAACGAAGGTTGGTTCTCTTTTTAAAGCAGGTGAGAACGGTAGGGTATGTGAAAGGGATTTCCTTTACCGAAATAAGGTTCCACGTAGAGGCTAGCTGTCGTTGGAGCCACGTCGCTACCTTTTCTCCAGTAACTCGATCGTGGAAAGCACATGTGCAGGTTCGCCAAGCTGATCACGCGGCAGATCTTCGCGAGGATGTCTATGCACTGCTTAGAACAGTTCTGCGCAGGTATAATGGAACAGTAGAGGAGATGAGAATCCTCTGAAAGTGTCTGGTGATCATTTACGAAAAGGAAAGAAAGAAATACAGTGAAATATGTGGACACTTGTCAAAATAGAGTAACTTCTTTAGCCGAACGACTTGAGTTTTTTTTTCTTGTTTCAGGAGTTAGAAGGATTAGTTTGCTAGATGACGTGTAGAAAAAATTTGGAAAAAGTTGCAATTTGCGGAATTGCGAATAAAATTGTAAATAAAATTGTTCAGACTGTTTACAACTTTTTTATCTGGGCTTCTAATGAAAATTTCAAACGTACGTTTTGTAGATCTATGTCGATTATACGCACGCTGAAAATTTCATCGAAATCGGTTAACGTTGCTACGAGCTACAAACGGTTAAAGATTGCGAAATTTTCAGCATGTGTGTAGTATAGAAAAGATGCAAAAATCGATCTTCCCTATTTTCTTCGCGATTCCGACTAATTGCAATTTTTTTTAAATTTCTTCTACGCGTCATCTAGTAAACTAACCCTTCAAATTTCTAAAACAAAACTAAATTCGTTTGGCGCAATTTTAAAACAGATACTCTATTTCGGAGAGTGTCCACATATCTCTGTCCTCGACTGTATATTGACAGGAAACTACGAACGATCGAATATCTCAGAAATGACGATAAATTCTGCCTAAATTCACCAGTGAAATAGTGAAATTTTCGAATTTTTCCACCTGCAAACGTTTAAATTTTTATCGAAAATTTCCTTCGAGTATTACAAGGCGACTTCATCAAGCCTCGGCTCTCCATCATTCACCCTCCGTACACTCGAGCAATTTGAAAGTCTAACACGCGTACCTGAAGCAACTCCATGTTGACGTTCACCTCTGACACGATTTTCGCCCTCATCTTCGCGCAAACGTACACCTGCACGCTGACAGTGTCCGTGGACAACGCGTTCGTGTGATCAGCGAGCTAAGGGTACAAGAAGAGATCTCAGAATGTTGATTTTCGTTTAACGAATTCGTTCTGACTAACCTTTAGATAAGAAAGTTCCTCGAGACAGTTCACTATGTCGCCCTTAACTAGAAGAAAGAACACGTGGAGCTCCCACGTGTGAGCTATGATTTTCGCTTCTTGAACGATCCACAATCTGGCGGTGTGAATCGAGTGATCCAAACGATGGAGAGCGACGATCTGCTCTGAGAGAGGTAGCTCTACCAACGGTGCACCGATCACCCATTCTCCGCCAGCCTCGCATTCGTTGCTCAGCGTAACCAGCAACTGGAACAATTCTACGAACATCTGACCTGTGTCGGTCCCCTGGAAATTGTGAAAAAGCAATTTTTTTTATTCTGATTCTCACGTTTCTTGATAGTAAGAATTTGTGCAGACAGTGTGTGTTGGTAGAGGCGTAGGCGTAGGTATAGTCGAAGGAAGAAATGTATAGGGAGGTCTAAATTGGAGCATTAAGTAGCGAGGCAGTTGTAAACGAGATTTTATGCTTTTCAATTGAGACTGAATCAAAGATAAGACACACTTCATACAGCTCTGACTGAGATTTCGAAGCCTCATTCTTCTCAGGTTTCTGTGGATTCACTTGTCGATGTATTCGAATATGAAAGGAGTACAGCAGAAAGGAGGTCAAAAGTGCTCTTAAACCAAATTGGTCTTGCGATGGACCATTCGATAGATTAGTGAAAAAAAACATTTGACATTAAGTTTCAAGTTTTGCTCTGTTCTCCATCTTTAGTGGTACGCAAAAATTTTAAAAAAAATCTGAGCGAACTTAGGACCTCGCTATATTCCTTCCACCGACTATACGTATCGCCAGGCTATAGGTCCTATAGTCGTCCCTAACGATTAAGACGCAGGCCTCAAAGCTGACTTAAACTCCTCTTTCTTTCTCTCTCCTTACTCGCTGACAATCTTAATAATTCACCAAACAATCGCTGTATTATGATTATTTAGGCATTACAGAACTTAATTTCCCCTAATTTTGTACGCGAAAATTTTGAAAAAAATCTGAGCGAACTTAGGACCTCGCTATATTCCTTCCACCGACTATACGTATCGCCAGGCTATAGGTCCTATAGTCGTCCCTAACGATTAAGACGCAGGCCTCAAAGCTGACTTAAACTCCTCTTTCTTTCTCTCTTCTTACTCACTGACAAATTTGATTCTTCACTAAACAATCGCTGTGTTATGATTATTTTGGCATTAGAGAACTCTTAATTTCCCTTAATTTTGTATGCAAAAATTTTGAAAAAAATCTGAGCGAACTTAGGACCTCGCTATATTCCTTCCACCGACTATACGTATCGCCAGGCTATAGGTCCTATAGTCGTCCCTAACGATTAAGACGCAGGCCTCAAAGCTGACTTAAACTCCTCTTTCTTTCTCTCTCCTTACTCGCTGACAATCTTAATAATTCACCAAACAATCGCTGTATTATGATTATTTAGGCATTACAGAACTTAATTTCCCCTAATTTTGTACGCGAAAATTTTGAAAAAAATCTGAGCGAACTTAGGACCTCGCTATATTTCTTCCACCGACTATACGTATCGCCAGGCTATAGGTCCTATAGTCGTCCCTAACGATTAAAACTCAGGCCTCAAAGTTGACTTAAACTCATCTTTCTTTGTCTCTCCTTACTCAATTACTTAGACACTAAAACTCACCTCTGTGGAAGAGGATTTCGATTGATACTTGAACGCAGACGTGTAAGCTAATCTAAACAGATGATCCCATTCGGTAATAGTAGCATGATAGCCGAGTGCATCGCAAAGATTCTGCAACGCTGGTCTCACAGTTTGGGGCACTGAAATTTTTTAATCCTTATATCTACATAAACACAACATCTTCAGATGAATTTTTAACTCGTACCATGATTCCTTTGGATGAATTGACTTAACCAATCCTTCAACTGTTGCGCTCCGTGACTGTGACGAGTGGCGAGTGCCTCCGGAGACCACCAAAGGACCACATGATCCAAAATGCCGGACAGCGAGCCCCACGCGACTTCCTGATAATAATTCTTCACCTTCTTTATCGCGCTGCTTCTCAGCTTCTTCTCACCTTGCACGAATATTTTTCATAGGGTTTTTTAAACCACAGGCGAAAATGAGGAATTATCGAATACAAGTTTTATTCGGAAAATCGTCGAGAAGTATTGTTCGTTGCTAACTTAAGTCAGAATTTAGCATGATTAGAAAATATTTTTGTTACGAATAATTAGTATCGATTATTCAAATTTGTTTCCTTTCTTATGATCTATCACGAGACATTTTTTTGGAAGGATTTTTTCGTTAAACCGAAAA